ATTGATGCAAGCCGCATCTAATGGCTTCACTGTTCTCTATGGTGCCGAAGGAAGCGCAGGGCCATCGGACACGCGCTATGATTCTGGTACACCATCTGAGGGCTGTAATGATAACCATTCTGCAGCTAAAGATTAGGACAAGTCTTTCAAATGTTGATTGCTCTCCCTTCTCCAGTCACTTGGTTTTAGTTAATTTAACCATCAGCAGAAATGACTCCATGAAACAGGATGCCAATCCCAAGACATTTAGTACTTTCAGAGCAACCTCGGCTCTCCTTGTAACAGGACACTTGGCAGTGGGGTTGACTTTTCTACTTTAAGCCATGGGAAGGCACTGAGGATGACACTGGAGTTTCCCTTAGAGGAACCTGGTAAGGAGGACAGAGTGTCAAGTGTTTCCAAACAGGCATTCCCACTAGAATCTGTCTCTATTGAGAGATGCTTCGGTGGGCCTCAGGCATTTGGGGGTGTGAGGAGGATGGAATCATGAATATGGTGAAGTTACCCCAAAGCAGTGTCCAACCTGTGGAACTGGAACTCACACTGCACACTGTGGCTAACAACTTTTTAGTCTGAAGAAAAGATTGTGTCTCTTTGGTGGTGGCCACCTTTCTTCCCACGGTGAAAACAGTAGCATGTTGGATTATGAGAAAGATCAGTACTAGGGGGAATCCAGAACCCCACTTGTGGGAACGTCACTGACCATGGGCCCCATGAGCTCCCTCAATGGACTGGTTCACACTAAACTCAAGATCCTTCTGCTTCAGCTCCTGGGCTCTGAGGTCACAGGTGTGTACCACGGAGCGAAACTCCACTTTTGAAGAAGGAAATGTCCATGTCTTAACCCTCACCAAGCATTACTTTATGGCACTTAGGGCCACGTTAGGGGAACTAACCCCATCATTTTTGGAGACTTCACAGGACAGTGGCACTGAAAACATCAGAGCAAAGCAGAGAAGGATCGTTTCTAAAGGGGAAGGCACTTGATTTAAGGATTAAAACTACCTCTCCAGGTCAGTTAGCACACAGCTGGATGTCTGACAGGCCCCTCAGTGCCCAGCTTTCCTCTGCGCCTTCCCTAATGTCCACACTAAAAAGGAATTGTATGACTAAGAGACTCCAGAGGCTGGGAACCCTGAACCAAAGGGCTACACTTTTTTTTTTCTTGCAGGCAAGAGGACTGTGTTTAAGCTCTGTCCACGTGAATTGCCTGGTTCTATATGGGTGCCTACTTTCCTCACTTGTAAATTAACAACCCTTCTTATGCTATCCTACCGCAGTTTCCAGAGGACCCCCACAGCTGCTGGCTCATCTTCATCCATCCCTGGGCTCTGGCCTCCACTCTCTCCTGCCCCAGTTCTTCACTCGCCGCTACTTGGATTATTCTCCCCAGTCACGACCAGCTGGGGTAGCCCCAGTCTGCCTTCCCTACCGGAAAGTTATCATGGCTGGCAGGACTAGCCTGTGAAATCCAAGGCTGGATGAACTCCTTCCGGGCCTTATGCACCACTGTGTCTTAGGGGCCAGTCCAGAGCCAAGCATACAGAGCTCAAATACTTTTGTAGAATAAAAATTAGGCAACGTATACTTAGTGGCAGAAATTACTTAGTATACGTGAAGCCTTAGATTCAATCCTCAGAATTGTAAAACAGGAAAAATGTATATGAAAGAACTTTCTGAGCTGTAGAGTATATTAATACAAGCTGAATGAAAACACACCTAAGACTCATGGGCACACTTTAACTGTCTCGCCCTTTCTCTCCTTTCTTTGTGTACATATTATCTATCTTAGTATCTATCAAAGAAATGAAACAGCCTGTTTGCCAAATCAGGGTCACACTTCATGTGGTGCTAACGGAAGGGTTTCTCCCAGTGCATGGGCTACATCCCCATGTGTGTATGTGTTCACCCATGTGGTAGACACACGTGTGCAGGAGCAAGTGCCCGCATACTGTCCCTTGCCTGAGAATCTTTGGATTCAAAGGCCTAGGGTGTAGAGAGGCTTCCTCTGCAACCCACCAAGGGAGCCAAGAGCTAGTTCATCAGGATTTCTCCTAATACCTATGCAAGGGTTATGGAAATCAGGTAGTATTCTGCCCCTCCCCTGGATGTTTTTGTGGCTTGTGAAGGGCATGAGGATTTTTTCCAGATCACTTTCTCATTTGGAGGGTAACAAGAATTGAAAACAGCGCTGGAATGCCTTCTCGGTGCCTCTGCTTCTAAAGCAGGGGCCAAAGGGCTGCTGTGCTGGGGCTGAGGGCCACTCTCTGGCACGCTGTTTACCACCTCACTCCACTCCATTGTTCCTGGAGGCCCTTCCACTGCTGAAGGGAGGGGTCAGTTGGAGCCGATTTTGTTAAAGCTTTAAAATAAAATAGAAGGAAAAATATGCTTAAAGCTAGTCTCTTCCACACAGGGGGCGGTAACCACCAGCTGTCTCGGAGAGACGGCAGATGTAATTGATAAAACAATTCAAAACTAGTGTGGCTCTATCGTCAATAAAATTAACACCCAAAAAGTAAATAAAAGGTTTCAAGGAAGAGCCAGATAAGCCCCGAAGTCGGCCAATAATTAAATCTGTAAACTAGGCACCAAGTCTTTCAATTCAGATTACAAAGGAGGATCAGCTGGGCATCTCAAGTTGCTGGTTGAGGGCTGCAGAGCATATGCTGCCTTTGAAGCTGTCATTAACCGAGGCAGGCACCAGTGAAAGGAGGATGAGGGTGGGAGCAGGGCAGGGGAAGACCTGCAAGTGTGCAACATTAATCCCTAATGTGGAAAGGATGGACTTTCTACCCAATACAGCAGGGAGTGGGTAGCATTATTCATTATCACAGTTTAGCATTAAATGGGCAACACCTACTCTAATTTATTGATGGGCTGTTTAAGGCGGGTGTTAACCTGTTTGTCTTGTATTATAATTGAATTCAGTCTCCAGGCTACAGAGATTTGAGAAGTTCATCCTTTCTCAATCAATATGCTCCCCTTCAGTGACCCATTTCAAGACAGCTTCATAAAAAATAATGTATTTTGTTTTAATAAATTTAAACACTATGACAGCTGCTCAATTTTTATTGGTTGTTTTTTTTTCTCCCTTTAGATGTCTCTTCGCAGCCCAGAGAAGCCAAGCTCACAATCAATAGTAATTGATTAATCAGCATCCCCTTTGAACAAAGGTGCTAATCAGTTTTTGATTAGTTCATCAAACCAGATGCAAAGGCAACCCAGCCCAGCCCGCTAGTTCATCAGTGTTCTACATGACTTATGACTTCCAGCAATAGGAGTGCCTCGGTCCTGGAGGGAATAGGGGGGCAATGTAATTATTAATTTAACCGAATTATTATGAACACAAACAGTTGTTGGTTTATTGCTCCTGACTTAGGTGATTGATAGAACTGCAGTGGGGACCCATCTAGCATGTTGCAGGGCTGAGACCTGCAGTGTTCCTAATTGATGAAGCTGAGAGAAGAGGTACCTGGCTGACTCATGTTTTCCTAAAGAGGACAAAAACTCCTTTTGCCTCTCTGAGTGATTCTTGTCAGGAAATACACTAAGAGAGATCAGGGGACAATCTAGACCTTTCTCAGGATTCCTGGGAGATCCAGTTGCGCAGGGTCACTGTATTTGGGGGTGACCTCAGACGCCAGAACAGAAAGCACCTTCACCCTTCACCTGGAAGGCAAACAGCTGTTCACTGCTGGCACTGCCTGAGAGCCAGGCAGGACTTACCTACTTCTATTTTTAAAGAAAGTAAATGTTTTGTTTTCATGCGTTTGCAACTTCTTTAAATATATCTATCAGTAGAAAGAGACAAATGAATGGCATGGCTAATAGGTGGCTACCTTCCTATTTATTTACTGAAATTCACTGGTATTTAGAATTCATTCATTTACCCAGAAAGTATTAGCTGGGTGCTTACTGCAAGAGAGGTGCAAGCAGGGGACAGATCCAGCGAGTAGCCTCCTGGAAGCATCTATTCTAGGAAATTCCAGAAGTCCAGCTCCCCTACACAGGGACAGAGCAAAAAGTGAAGGTATTCGTGAGGTCTGAAGCACACAGCCGGAAACACATCCAGTGTGTTCTGAGATATGGGGGGGTACTAGCTTGTTTTCACTGAGGTATAGGCAAGGACGGTGCCTCAAGCACCAGTCATTCAAAATAACTGCAGTGAACGCTGTCTGGGAAGGGGTAATATGGAGCCTGTTTTGCAGTGGGCTCCGGTTAGCAGCCACATGCCAGCGCCTTGGCTTCTCCACTGCAATGTCAGGGGCGTGCTCACTGGCTCACTAAGTGCCAATCAAAGTGCTCCAGAAGCTTTAGGCAGTTGCCACCGAAGTCTCATGACATCATGGAAGCTCGAATAATTGTTTAGCTCTGACCACTTTAAATCTCCTTCCTCCCGCCTTTGTAGGACATGCTTCTTATTCTGGATTAGTAACACCTAAATCCTGGAATCAAGCATGAAACCTACTTTTTGCAAGAGCTCAGTATGCTGTAAAAAAGGTCTGAGGTGGATAATTAGTTTACAGCCTGGTGCGTGACTAAACAATTGGCCCCCTCCTCCCTGTCCTGCTCTCCCACCTACTTCAAAGTATACGATATGGCTTTCTAGTCTATTCCACAGAAGTAGACTGTCAATAGGGCTCTAAGATCATGTCACATAATCCAACATCAACTGCTTCATAATGCAACCAAATTTCTCCTGAGCCATTGAGCATCTCAGATGGAAACATTACTTCAAGTCACCAAGCAGAGTGGCCTCAGCATTTTGCTCTCTACTGTATTAAAAGCACAGGCCACGTCTGCTATAGTGCATTGTTATCGTAGGAAAGAAAGGTGGGTAAGAGAATGGAGAAGAAGTTATCTACATGTGGTTTGCTCTTTTCTTAGTCTCAGCACCCACAATGATTGCTCAGCAAACCAAGGGGTCATTTGGTCACAGTGGACAAAGCACCCACAGGTTGGACACTGCAGCACCTTACCTAATGGCTAGCCCTTACCTGAGAGGTCCTCACTGTCCAGTTCTTCTGCGGAATTGGGCAACTGAGTAAGGCCTTACAAGTAAAAACAAATCGTTTTTCTTTTCATTCCTCGAGGGACATAAACAAAACACTTAAGAACTGAGGATGGACTTTGTGTAAAAAAAGAAAACATGAGCCAAATCTCTTGCCATCTCCCGCTTTTTCGGAGAGCTTGAATATATTAATCATTTCTTTAATTATGTAATTGTTATTGATATATGATAAGGCAGAAAGAGTCCTCAGTCTCCACTGTTGAAAGCACATGAAACATGAGGGTGAATGTTTAAAAATCACTCATTCAAATAAGCATGCAGAAAGAAAAAAGTGAAGCCGAATTGTTAGCTGTGGACACTCTGATATATCTCTTCAATATGAATGTACTTAGATGCTACATACCGACATATGTAAGCTTTATCTCGCATTTCACTGAGAATTGAAATCCTTTGCCAATACTGACAAACATAGTTCATTTATCAATTTAGAATGATCTTGGATCACATATTTCAAAATGGTACAGCATCTGCTAACTGCAGATTGCAGGTTATGCCTTCATCAGAAAAATCTGATTCACAACTCATTTTTTTTAAAAAGAATTTCATAAATCAATGGTATTCCAGAAATATAAAACCCTCAAAGCTGAAAAAGCAGTAAGGTCAGGAGATAATCAAGCAGGGCTTGAAATGCTGGTGTTCCAGTCAACCCCAATGTGGCCCAGCTGGGACAGTTCTCCACCAGCTCTGTTCTGAACTAAGTGAGGCAAAGAGGAGGGTAGCTAAACAGAGGGAGGTGCAGCTAGAGATGGCTTCCATTTCTTCATGCTTATTTCTCGACTGATCTTTCAAGGAAGTTTATTAAATACCATAAAATGTTAAGACGGTCAAGGTGGCCTTTGCTTATTCATTGCTGTTCTCCTTCAATCCCAACTTATTGCCCCAGGTACTCGAATCCCCACAATAGCCGTTTTACAATCTGTGTCTATCGTTTTGAAGGTGGTTGTGGGTCTAACTCAGCTGTAAGGTCTTTGGAGAGAGACACAAGTGTTGTTTATTTTTGTATCTTTCCCCTCCCTGAAGCTCAGCAAAACTATGCTATCAGTAAGTATTTGCTGAGTCAATGTTTTGTGAGTCATCCTTGGTCAATTACTGATCAAAGCTGAAAGGCAGCCATAGTGGCAGACTGGCTACCATTTCTATTTATTTCAAATGAGCTAAAACAAGCTTGTACGAGTGGACACTGAAGCTCAAATTTTCTGAGGTGATTTACAAAGGTGCCAAATGAACTTGGTGAGCTGGTTGAGTACGTGAAGAGGCTGGCCCACCATCAGCCCTAAGAGAGGAGAGTTTCTCACATGAACCCTGGGTACCGAGTGCTTCAGAGCACAAGCCAAATCAACATGAAAATCTTTAGAGTTCACAGGTGTTCCTCAGCTATGGAACCAGGCAACTAAAGGGGACGTGGTAATGCAATAAATTATAGAGGCAGCTGAGGGGAAATGCTAGCCCTTTGTCCTGAAATCTGATTGGCTGAAAGTGCTTCTATGTCTAATTGGCTTGATCCATTGTATAAAGACTAATGAATACAATTATTTGAATAACTGTTATAAATGGGCAACATAAAGTAGTTCTCTGTAGTTAATTATGAATTTGCAGTTCTCAGAAGGCTAATCCCTCACTTCTACATGGCCCAATGAATATCAAAGTGTTCTACGTATGTGCTTGGTGCCCACTGAACCACATTAAACAAGGATGTTTCAAGTAGGCAACTTTACTGCTGAAGGCTTGTTTCCCTGGGGAGGACACTAGAAAGCTTATTTTAAAAAAATAAAGACAAATATGTTTATGAAGTATCATTGATATGCAAAGTTTTCCATTAAGAAGCGACAGACAGTTGATATACACCTCATTAAAGCTGAAACTGTCATTTTTAATGGCATAAATTTTAAGATGAACCAAATCTTCTGGAATCTCTTGCTTGGATTATGTTCCAAACTGAGAAGCCATTTAGGCCAGGGGTGTTAAATTTGTTTTTGCAGGGCAATTGTTTTTTATGAATCTACAGCACACTGCCATAGTTGGATAATTTCTGAATAAATATAATTAGAAGAGTTTACCATAGTACTGGGTGTACAAGCAAGGAAACACAAAATCTACCTCCTAGAATTGCTTTGGTTTAGGTATTTTTCTTTCATGTTAAAAATTAGACTCCTCTCGTTTTCTCAAAGAAAATGACGAAGATGCACTTTATGAAGCAGAGAATATTTCTCAAAAGGAAACACTGTGATTTAAGAATAAGTGGGAGATCACTTCTTGGTTCTTCTATTCAAAGTTTCCTATCATCTAGTCAAGCTCTTTCTAGTCACGTCTAATTAAAATGCATGCAAAGCATTTCTTTGAACTCTGTTAAACAAATGAAAGTTTACTTTTGTTGCATTTGTTTTTGTTTTTGTTTTGCAATTAAGGAAGTCCTAAGGTGCAGACATGAGAATTTAATTTATGCATGAAGGCTGTCTCTCCTGCACAGATTCATGTTTGGCTTTTTCTGGTGTTACAGGTGCTGTGGTTCAGGCTAAGCACTGTGCGCTTCTGGAGTCGCTGTTTCTCCTTCTTGACAGCACCTGCTGGCTTCTCAAAGTGGTTATAATGTGGCAATTTTAAACCAGAAGAAAGACCTCAAAGAATTAGAATCAGTTAGAAATCCTAGCCATTTCAATAAATGCAAAAATCAAGTATACCTAAAGAGGCTCCTGGATTTGATTCATCAAGTTATCATATATATAGATATATATTACAGAAAATTATGGAAAAGAACAATTAGATAAAATCCCTAGGAAAGAAAACCTCGGCCCACTGGCCTTAGCACCATTCTCATTAGGAAAAACAGAGTAGGCGACGGTCTCTCTCTTACCTACGCAGCACACATCTGATCACTTGGCCATGTCATGGAAACTGATACTTCCACCACCAGCCATAAGAGTTCAGACGCCCCGGGTAGTTTATATCTAAAAGCTCAGTCATCCTGTTCTTCCTGCTTTGTCAGCTTTTGTGGAGAGTTTTTCCCTTCTTCCCATTAGCAGAAATTTGGTTCACGCCGTTAAACAGCAGCACATTGTTTCCAAGCTGCATATCAAGGCTGCAACGCAATCTTCAGGTCCTGCAGCCATTCGTAAACCTCTTTAGCTTTGTTCTTGGGTAGAACATACAATGTCTGCAGAGTCCCTTGACTGAATGACAGCCCTTGAATGCCATTGTTATGTACTCATACAGAGATGTACAGAGGTACATACACAGACGGTGGACATAGCGGTTGTAATCACGTGCACTGCTGGCTAGTCTTCTTTCAAATGGGCTTAAGAATTTCCCCACAACTGAATCCCACGTAAGATAAGGACATAACACAATGTTTTCAGAATTCTGTCACGGTCTGCACTAGTCATAATCCAAAGAGAGGGAGTTACCTAAGACAGGGAGTGGTCTGGGGCGTGGGCTTGATCTCTAGCACTGTCCAAATACTTTGAAACCAAATAAAAAAGAAAAAAAAATGTTTCAGGAGTTCTCCATTTCAGAATGAATTAATCTATTTAAAGACTCATGTGGACTATGAAAATCCATGAGATCGTCAGCCTCCACTGTTTCAACAGGTAGAAAAGGCAGGCTGAGTTAGAAGGAGTGGGGAGAATGGGATGGGGGAGGGGGGAAAGAGAGGGGAAGGGGAGAGAGGGAAGGAGAGAGCGCCCCGACCCAGAAGCCAGCTGATTGCAGTGCAGCAGAATCACAAGCGCTACTCCAGACCATGGGCATGCTGTCGCCCGGCCCCTCAGGGTCAGGGGTGGGGAGGGAAAGGGAGAGGGGACACACGGGACAGACAACAACAAAGCACAAGACATTTACCAAGAAGTGCCCACACTGAAACAGACAGACAAAAACCATCACACGCACCCACACGCCAAATAATCAGGATAACGACGACACCACCCGTGCGCTAACCACCCATGCATGTCTGCCAGCAGCTTCTGACCACGAGCTATCAGGATTTGGCAGTGGTTTTTCTTGTTTCTTTTTTTTTTTGTATTGTTCAACATGCACACACAACACAGGTTTTTGTTTGTTTGTTTGTTTTTGTTCTAATTTTTCCCTGTGCAGGCCTTTAAGGGTGAACTCCAAAACCACAAATGCTCAAAATCCTTATTCAGAGACCCCTTGTGACAGCCTTGCCTAAAAAAATAAAAAAATTCTCATTCTTATGCTCACATTTATGTTCACTCTCAGTGAGATCCTTTAATATGGTGGTGAATTGTTACTTGGTTTTCTTTTGGAGAAAATCCATTTGGTTTCGAATCATGCCCATGCACTTCCAACCTTCCAATACATGCTTATTCCAATCAGTTATTGGTAAGAACAAACAATCAACATATAGGAACAACTAGAGTAAACTTCATACATACTCTAGCAACACAAGCTTGAATAAAGAATTGTAATGAGTCTTCATAGGGAAATCCTGAAAAGGTTTTTTGTTTTGTTTTGGTAAATGAAAGAAAACAGCCAGATGGTAAGTCCAGTATAACTTTTGAGAACAACAAGATAGCCACAGCTGGCTGACTTAGTATGTCTTGTCATTTCAGTTGCTAAGTTATCAAGCCATTTACTAATTTTTTTTCTGAAACCACAACACCATAAGGACTGTCTTAAGGTCATCAAGTGAACGCCAGTCATATGGTTGCTACACTAACTAGCTGGGTCTCTAGTACTAGGATAAGATCAATTCTACAGTATCACATCCTTGTTAATCTGCTTCCTTGGTCTGTCATTTCCACCATATCCTGTTACCCTTTACAAGTGACTTAGAAAATTTCTTCCCTTTTCATCAAGTAAAATTTCAGACATTACTTTGGTTTACATTAGTGCTTTTGGCTGTGGGCTTGAGAGTTAGCTGGCCAAAATAGTGGGGGACCCTTTGAGAAGTGACTATGAGGATCAGAGACAAGCTGAAGAACAAATTTATAAATACACTATGCAGAGATGAGCTGGGCTTAGCCACCATTTCTCTGGCTCTTTGCTGCTAAGGACTCCAGTTGGAGACACAAGAGACACAGGGTACAAGAAGGCTGTGCTTGCTACTCTCTCCCACGAGCTTCTCACACCCGAGTCTCATCCTATGGCTCTGGGGTGATAAAGACAGTGGCTACTTCTCCTGGAGCAGACAAACCTGTATGCTAATTGATCCCAAGTTAAGTGCCCAGAGACTCCTTTCCCTTTCCAATCTGTTTAAAGAGACAGACCTAATTAAAATGAGTAGCCCCAAATCAGAATCAGCTTCTAGGTGCTGTCTCCATCTTTAGGCCAGGACAAGTTTCCTAGTTTGCATATCCTGTCTAAATCTTTAAGGACGAGTTCCACAAGTACAAGTCCTTGGATCTAACTGAGGTATTGAAAACATGGAACTTTGGGGTTTTGGGATAAATGGTCACTATTTCTTCAAAGAGGTCAGAGAATTTGGGAACCCAGGTTGTACTTGACCCTGGAGTTAATTATAGGAAGCCCCAAAACTTAGAGTACTCAAAAAAGAATAAAACAAAATCTTTTGAACTACAATTAAAATCACCGTAAAGCTCTGAGGCTATCAATAACTGTCAGGAGGCATTCGAGACTAAGTTCAGTGGAGTGCAGAGTCTGAGATGTAGCCAGCTCTGTGGCTCACCTTAGAACACACACAATTTATACCTGACTGACTTCTCATGACTATAGCCCCTTTAACTTACTGCATGAAGATTAGGACAGAACGAAGTGGGGAGTATGCTGGAGAGCCCTATCATTTCCAGGTTGTGGTGCTGTGTGTGTGTGTGTGTGTGTGTGTGTGTGTGTGTGTGTGTGTGAGAGAGAGAGAGAGAGAGAGAGAGAGAGAGAGAGAGAGAGACAGGGAGTGAGAGCCCTGCTGAGCTGACCCTGAGTAGGGCAAGCTCTCCAGCAAGAGCCAGCACAGCTTTTACTCAGAGATGTCCAACTTTTAAGTCCTCAGACACAGTTGTCTGAGGAAGTCAGTGTGGGCTAGATGCCATTCTTTAAGCTGAATGAACAGTACAGCTGACTGATCACCTCTTGTCACTTAGGTGATAGATTTTCACCCTGCATAGCATTTAAAGTGACTGAAGCAGGCCCTTTCCAAATGATTCTCTTGGATTCAGTTATTAAAACGCAGCCCCCTTTAAACTAACATATCTACTCTAAGCACAATCTTGCCAAGGTTAAATTTGAGATGAGTAATAAAATAATATACAGATTAAACAGGACTCTCACTTTCTGATTGAAAAAAAAAGGAAGGAAGGAAGGAAGGAAGGAAGAAAGAAAAAAGAAAAAAAGAAGGAAAAAAGAAAGGAAGAAAGGAAGGAAGGAAGGAAGGAAGGAAGGAAAAAGGTGTCCCTATTGGTAGTTCCCTGGTGACAGGGGAAGGAGACAGGGTGTCCTGATGTCCCTGTATGAAGATTATGCACTCCTTTTTTTTCACCTTTCGGTTAAAAACAAAAAAACGTAACCTACCTACCTTTTATTATTTGACTTGCAAAGTACCACACACCAAAGACTGCATTAAAACCCCACTTCATGCTGTTCAAATGGAACATTCTTGGGGAATTGTTTCCCACCCAATGGAAACATAACCTTAAATGAATAGAGAGACTGGGGAGGCTGGTGGGTAAGGAACATGGCCTCTATTTCAGATGCCTGCTCCGTAGACAAATACTTTTTTTCCATTTAATTAAAAATACTTTTTGAAGTCTCATGTACTCCAAGGTTTGGTATAGTTTTATAAGTAAGGAGGAATGTGTGATGGACACCCTAACATGCTTGCCACCCGAGGGGAGGCCTCAATCTCACACTGCAACCACTGGCCACTGAACTCACAACAAAAATGACAAGACTCGGTGTAATGTCAAGCATTAAAAAATCATGGTGCATTTCTGAGATCAGTCTATTTGGAGCGTGAGTTCCCTTGAAGACTGCATTTCTCTTTTTCCCAGGCTTGCCTTGCCTCTCAGCAGCGCTGAGAAAGTAGATAAACAGGAATGTGATACCAACCGTGAACTGCTGGTTCTGTCGTCGCCGTGGTGTCTACAGACGGGAACAGAGGATTGGAGGAAGGGAAGAAACAGGAGGAACAGCATGCAAAAAAGGGGAGAATGGAAAAAAATGGAACAGATAATATATGAGCAAGCTTTCAAAGAACACCGCGTGACAAGCAATAATAAATGAAAAGCAAGGAGCATCTGAAGTGAGCGCACTGTTTTAAGACATGCCTTGAGCTCAAAGCTGCGAGCCAGGGAGGAAAACAGTAAATTCTTTTGTTCCAGGGGTCTTGCCAGGACACATGTATTTGCCAGTCAATAGTCAGGGGGACATGCAAAGTGATGAGAAACACCAGTGCAAACTCAGTGGCCGCTAGATGGTTCGTAAAGCATCGAAGCTCAGGACTGCGACAGAAAAGCTCAGTTGGAAGGCTGGTTAAACAATGGATTCAGACATTCAAACATTGCCTTTGTTTCAACCCAAACCACCCGGGCGCTGGGGCTTCTGGAATCAACTCTACTGTTAGGACATTTTTCCAGCTGAAGCCCAGATGCTCACAGATGAATATGCAACATAGAGATTCGAGTTCTCCATCCACTGTATTATTTCATCAGAAGTTAGTTGGTAAGTTCAATTCATGGAAGTGAACATGTTCAAGACACACGTGTGCACACATACATACACACACACACAGAGCCCGGATTCTTCATTCTATAAGATACGTTATAATCTACAAGGTTTGTCACAAAAACACATGTGTTCACACAATTGGACAAACACCACTTGGGAATTTCCAAGTTTCAAGAATCCAGCTATATGGCTGTGCTCAGCCCACATCCCCAGGTTTGGCTGCCAGGTTTTTGTGGTCCTGACTGGGTTGGGAGACAGAGATATCGTCTTCATTGGTGCTCTCCCACCTGTGACCTGTCTCTTCTACTTCTGATGCTGTTCAAGTTGGTTCCTATCAGCTTCTCTTCACAGTAAAATGCCTCCAAAGCACTTTAAGGAGGGAATCTGCTCTTTGCTTTTGGCTACAGAAGTGGGGCGTCTAGCTAATGAAGTGCATGATGGCCTTCTTTCCCAGTCCTCTTAAAAACAGCCAACTTCACTTTGATGTCAATGCACTAGGCCCCACTTTCTTTCTCAGTTCTGCAGTTTTCAAGTGTGTTTCTTATAGCAGCCCCTTCCTAGTCAGAAGTTGCTGCTGGTTGAAGCAGGATCCCGAGATTAAAAGTCACAAGCAATCCCCTGCCATTTTTATGATGGGGCCTTTAGCTGGCAATTGTTTTCAATGACTTGAACTTGACACAGGCAATGTTTAAATGCACTAGAACATTAAGTATAGAACTTTTTTTTTGTGGAGGGGGAATCAAATGAGCCTGGAGCTTCTGATGTATAAATATGACACATGAATTCACACCGGCGTTCCCCTTCAGTTGGCATGCTTTCTGGGACAATAGGAGCCTTATTGTAATCAAAAAAAAAAATCAAGGCCCTTCTAAGGAGCCAGAATTAACCAGAGGTCTTAGAGGCCAATGCATCTTGATATAACTAATCACTAAATTTCTCAAGGACAGAGGAAGGAGAGAAAACCATAAAATACACTGCAGAAGAATATAATACTTACTTATAAGTCAACTCTGTGGGCCTAAAATAGCAGTGAGAACAACACAGGAAATTGTACAGTTGAAACAAACCCCACACCAGATCCTTAAAGATGACAGATGCATCTCCATAGTTGAGACATTTGAGTCCAACACTGGTTTGAGGCACTTTAAATTTGAGGGGCAGAATCAAAGGCACATTTGTATAAACATTCATATGCATGTAATACATTTTATGGGCAGGCATTGGCTCCTTTCCAAAACAGAAGAAAAAAAGCAAAAAATGCTTTGGCTCATTATTTTTGTGGTACCTCTTTTTAACATACCTTTTTTTTTTTTTAAACCAAGTAAACCATTAACATAAAATGAAAAAAGGGAGTGGATTAAAACATTAGAGTTATAAGACTCAAAAATCAGATCTGAGCATTGACCAACAATCCCAATTTACTGTCTTCCTGTATTACAACATTATGTCAGCTTCATGACAAAATTAACCAGATGAAGCCAGGCGTCAGCTCTTACACGGGCAGCAGACAATAAATGCAGCCATGACCACAGTGCATTTTGCTCCCAACTCTAGGGATGCGAAATCCATCAATTGAACCCAACAGAAGAGAAAAGGGCTATTAAGGAAAAACACTCTAAAACAGTTAAGCAAACACATATTCAAGTCAAACAACATGATTACTGCAGTTGGAAACGGCAAACTTACGAGCAGCAATGGATGGGACGCTGCGGCCGGAACACAGGTGGGTATGGGGCTTAAATCGGGATTAAGAGTGTGTCTGGGAAGCTATTGACTCTGTTTCTCACAGAGCATCTGGTGTGCGACCTGAGCAGGGGCTATTTCAAGTTAAGAGAGAAGAGAAAATGCTTTAGACGTGACTGTGTGCTCCCCCTGGGGAGGGGGGGCAGCACTAGGACAGGATCTAATTCTCCTTCATAATTGCATTATGATACCATGCAGAAACCATAGACAGCTTGGCTCTGGGGTGAGTACGGAGATGTGAAGCATGATTTATTAGGGTATCTTCAGAAAATGGAGAAAAGTGCAAGTCCTCCCCCCAAGAATCGGCTTTCTGGGGTGGTCACTGGAGCATTTTATAATATTTTAGTTTTGTGGGCAAATGCAAACATGTCAGTGTAAGTTATAATTGCAAAAAAGGGCTTGATTAGTGTCTGACTGCCCTCCCAAATCTCTTTAAACCTCATGTGTTGTCTTAAAAAAAAAATCTTTGAGCTAGGCCTATGAAAAAATTGGTTACAAAAAGTAGAATGGGAGACATTGGCTCTATATAAAAAAGTTAAACCATTGTCTCTAGTTTTAATTATAGTGAGGGCAAATGGATTGTATATTATTTATATGTTTAAAATAACTGAAACAAACAAATAAAACCAAGTCAATCCCTGTTCTCACAAATGCTGAATGTATAGAGTCTCACTCGGCATGTACTCAAGGTTTTATGAGTCTACAATCAAAAGGAGGTGAGCTAGGGCCCACAATGAGTTGGAAGGCACTCATTTCACAATATGGACGTCCCTTCTTAGGCTTACAGTCCTGCAAACTGCTAATGGGGCCCTGCCTCAAATCAGCAAAACAAACACACATTCTACATTGAAGTACAAGATATTTGCAAAATGAAAAAACTACGACAATGTGTGAGATTAGAGACAGTAGCCATTTAACCAAGTAGCCAAGAAGCAGGGTGTGTGTGTGTGGTGGGGATCAAACAAAACCCAAAAAGCCCCACAACCTGCCTGAGAGGCAGCTGGGCAACATTTAGTGGAAACAGTCATGTGTAAGCCCCACTGTGGCCTGTTCTAATCCTTTCAGATGGATTCTCTCCAACTTAGAATTGTTCATTGAGTGTGACAGACTGGGGGCTTAAAACTAATCCATAAATTAGTCCATGGTCTCAAACACAACGGGTGCCATAAATGAAAATGAAAATCCTAGGACAAAATTAAATTCACTACCTCACTTTTCTTACCAATTGATCTATGCTGTTCTTGCATCATGACACAGAGTCGCAGTAAGGCAGCGTGTGGTTATGTGAGACCAGGGTGGACATTAGAAAATGCCATGGGTACAACCTAGAAAAACCAGCTTACCCTGGAGCCGAGTTAGTTGTAAGGAATTTAAACTCTCCTGTTTTGCCAGCCATAAGCTAAGGTGGAAGTGGGGCAAGCAGTCTGGCAACATTTTAATACACTTTCCCCCAGTTTATTTTCTTAACTAAAGTCAATATGGAACCAACGAACTTTCTTAATTGAATTCCTCTTCAGTGTCTGCTATGGAGGGGCTTTAAATCTCAGCACCAGGGCAGGCAAAGAATTCCCCTGACGATTTTACTTCATAGTTGTGCTGTGCTTGCCAATATATATTAAATATGAGTATTTTTTTTCCTTCCCCAACTTTAACTTATTTGAAATCTGTTGAAAGCAAAAATAAGTTCTGGGAAATTTGAGTTTCAAATTTATTTTCTATTGGTTTTCAATTAATTTCCTTGCCACCTATGTTCTGCTTAATTAACCTACCATTCCTTAATGATGGAGAAAGGGGCTAAGAACAGAGCTAAGTTAAAAAGCCTACACCGAAGTGCCCTAAGAAAGCTATTGTACGTGTGTGTGCGTGTGCATGCGTGTCTATGTGTGTGTGTATGTACTCACCTGTGTGGGTGCGTGTAGAGACAAGAGATCAACATCAAGATGTCCTTCACTGCTTCCCCACCTTATTTATTTATTTATTTATTTATTTATTTATTTATTTAGAGACAGAGTCTTTCACTGAACCTGGAACTCACCATTTTGTCTAGCCTGGGTAGTTGTGAGCTCCTGGGATTCTTTTGTCTCTGCTCCTAAGTGCTGCCACACCTAGCTTCCTTCCTGAGTGCTGGGGATCCTGACTTAGGCTTTCATGCTCGAGGAGCAAGCACTTTACCCATGAAGCCACCTCCTTAGCCCCAGCATACTTTCCAAATGTCACTTTCCCCTTAGAGTGAAGAGATTGGGAGCCCAGAACAGCAGGAAGGGGAGCTGATTTCGTTGTTGTCGTTAAGCAAGTTCAAGTTTTGTTAAAAGCTTCTTCAAAATTGTTCACTCTGTGCAGCCCATGCCCCAGAGATCTTCTCATTTGCAAACCAGATGTTCTGCAAAATTATCGGAATCTGTAGAGTGGTTTCCCTACGGCATGTCTCAGGATGCCAGTGGGAACACACCAAGGGGTCAGGACTCAAGCCAGGGGAGGAAGGGTTAGGAGTGCTGCTGCAGGGAGTGTGCCGGCCAGAGATAAAAGGAGGGGGGCTCTGCAAGCCTGACTGAGATTCATCCTGCATGAGATCCTGGAAGACTGTGCCCTTCATCTCCATGTTCCTACTGCTGGGGGAGCTCCAGGTATCATATCTGAATCCCATGAAACCCATATTTGTGCTACTATTATTT